CTCTCTTTATATTTATATAGAATTCTATCAACCAATTTGGTGGCTTTGTGTGTTGCCAACTTCAATCAACAATGTTGCCAACTAAGGTGGGTGCACCATGGAAGACCACTCAAACGAAGAAACAGTTTTTATTAGTTCATGTACTGAATGAATGAAAGAAACAAATTTATTAATTAACACTTTGTTTTATTGATGTTACACAATAAAACAAAGTCAAGTTAGTTAATAATTACTTTTTAAGCTATTGCATAGATTTTATCGCGGGCTTTGAGCGCGGCGACCGAATCAAGAAATTAAACCTAACCGTAAAGAAAATAAACCTAACACCGCCTGAATAAATTTTTGGTTGTGGTGGGATGTTCAATTGAACCAGCGAAAAAAGCCCATAAACAAGGTTTAAAACATACTTATATAAACACCGGAATAAAACCATACCGCAATTCATAATAACTTAGCACCATCTATGACAGGCGTGGTTAACAAAGGACATTGTTCAGCGTCCATACATAGTTAGCCTAAGAACCAACAATCATGAAATATTATTTTCTAGGTTCAAAATCGTCAGTAAATGACTGTATAAACAAAAATTATTGACAGACACTTCTGAGAACTTAAATCATTAGGAAAACTAAAAATTTTTTGAGGTTATGTTTAATATTCAATGAAACATAGGTCCACCTATGAATTTAGTATAAACTCAGTGTGAAGTGAATTAATATTACAACTAATTCATTTTATTCGGTGTGATTTTAAAGAATAACTATTAGGAAAAACTTGGTTAGGTAGGAATCATGAATAAAATAAAAGCTGTAGTTTTGCTTCTTATTTATTGACTATTTATCACATATCAATATTTATTATATTGTGTAAATATGCAGCGTGAATGTGTATCAGGTGTTCTTGAATAATTTGGCAGTATGATCCTCTCAGGATGTTGTGGCACAGGTTCACTAGCACTTGGTAATAAAGGCTCTGCTCTTTGGTAACATCGATGGCATATAAGATAGCCGAAATAGTTAAATTAAAGGAAAAATAATCGCAAATAAACACACACAACAGGTAATCCGAAACGAGAACGCACTTTCCGCTAATTAAACTACTCTTTGGAATGCACGAATGCCACAGCTTACTACGAATGCAAACTGCATGCACCATAACCACAGAGTAACGAGTTTTATGCCGGCCCTTCACTTGACAACAGTTTGTCCTTGTCATGCTTAATAAGGAATGAAAAGGACAGACTGATGTCATGATTTAAAATAGCAAATACGAATAGCCAGGTGAAGTGCCGGCATTAGGAAGAAAGAGTGTTTTGTTTGCAGCGCTGCCATAGATTATACACATAAAATGGTATTTATTGTCTCAGATTATTTTTTAACTTTTTAATTTAGCTTACTTAACTGGAAGTATCCGTCACAATCTAAATACTGATAATTATCGCAAAAAATATACTAAGAATAATCATAAATGCCAAATTGGTGCTGGTTCTTAGGCCAATTTTAACATTGTCCTTTTATACTAATTACTAATATTATCTGAAACAAAACCACATCGCAATTCCCATCTATGAGAGGTGTTATTAACTAATTTAATATTTTAGTTTGTTTTTTTCGTTTTACATATATACATTTCTATATATTAACATTTATTTATTGGTAAGTTTGTTTTTTTTCGTTTTACATTTATATATTTCTATATATTAACATTTATTTATTGGTATATTACATACTGTAGTTATAAATCTTATACATGCCGCCCACCAAGGACATACTGCAGAAATGTCCTTAAAAAAGGGGGAGTAGATACATCATCATTAGTATGTAAATTACATCTTTTTTTAAGGATTCATGTTTACATGCAAAACCATAAAATCCTGGAACAAAATATCAATATAGTGAAAATTAAAATGAATCTAACTCTTATATAATATGTACTATTAAAAAATATATTATAAACATTAAGATAATGTTAGTACACAGAGTTTCCAAATGGGTCTTTTTATCAATGCGTCTTTAATAATTTCTTTACAATGCAAGATAGACAGCGTGCTTTTTGACCGCGTTCACGAGTGAGTTCGACCCCGCGACTAGTTGAACCTTATTTTTTTTTTATTAGAATATTCCTTGATCACTATCGAATAACTAAGAAAATATTAATGAAAATCATTTAAAAAATATAGTTGTGAGTATTATATCAATAACAAATATCTTGCCATGCCTTTTGGAATGAAATTTTAACAAAATTGGCCTTTAATGGCCTTTTTATGGGTCCGTTCTTTGTAAGACCAAGATGTTTCTAAGAAAGTGAAGTTGAATAACCCTTATAAATAATAATATTGTAAAAATAAAACTTCTGGTATGGCTTTTTAACCATATACTAGGTGTTCATATTTCCATGATTTGTAAATGTTCTTAGTAAGGTCCATATACCTTAGCAAGGCCAACCGTAAAAAAAATAATTGGCCTTATAAGGAACTACCGACTTTCATAGGACACTAACGATATTTGACTGAAATAGACGCAAAATTATTATTATTTCGACGACCTCCGTGGCCGAGTGTTTGTACACCGGGTTTCAAGGTGTGGCCTAGTCGAGAGGAGAGGAATCCCGGTGGGGGCAGATGTTTGTGTGATGAATACGAGCATTTGTACTCCAGTCATGGATGTTTAATATCTATTTCTATATAAAATACTTATATATGTATCAGTATAATAAGTATTCTATCCCTTAACAGTGTTGACTTTGGGGCTAGGCTAATTGGTGTGTGTTGGAAATATTTATTATTTTTCTTTAGTACCATAAGAAAACCTTATATCACAATTTACCGTAGAAATAAAGCAATAATAGGTTATTTTCATAACAAATTTAACTTTAGCTGTGCACACAAATTACAATTTTACCGTCAACAACCGAAGTCTACGAAGCGAGGGACCGCAATCACAAAATAGTGACGCGAGCGACTAGCCGCCGCGTCTGTGTTCATGAGTTTGATGGAGCTTAGTGTGAGAGGTAGAAATATTTGATCACATGAAAACAACTATGATTTTTTTAAAGTTGGCCTTCAAAGAAGCATGGCCTTCCATGGTCCACCCATCTTAGGTATTATCTTTTTTCTTAGGTTTTTTTCTAAATATAAAGGAAAGGATAAAAAAAAAACACTTTTATATCTGTCTCTCATAATAAATGATAAAATTACAGATACCTTGGTACTAATAATGTTCGATTTTCGTTTCATCGAATCTGCAGTCAACCCGAAACGCTAAAGAAGTTTTCACTACAATAACATTATAGGTTTTGGATTTTTTTAAACACTTCAAAAAAATATTATCTCCGTTTGACCTGTTTGTATGTATGTTTGTCCGCGATTATTTCAAAAATTTCTGATTTGAATGGGGTTTTCGGCTTATAAAAGCGTGTTTATTAAGAGCGCGCATGAGCGCAATCTTCTTTTTACGTACGAGCGCCTCCTGTAAAATTTCCAACCAGGAACGTATTCCGTATTACACTAAAAATGAAAAGATAAAATAATAAAAAAAATAGAACCGACTGCAAAAAAATAAGATTTACCGACTGATATATTAGAAGTCGATGCCATTATCATGATATCCCTAAAAAAACTAAACACATGTCTTGGTATCGACTTCAAATATACCTTTTTAAGAAAGAAAATACATACTAGGATAAAGAATTAGTTATCCTTATTTTTATTTTTGTTATTGTGAAAAGGGCTTCATGCTCTTGGTTACGTAAATGATCTATTGTGGGTAGGGTTCATGATTTCTCGAGCTTTTCAATTTCTCGGGTCTCGAGAATTCTCGAGGCTAATTTCTCGAGGCTTCACGGGTTGTCGAGAAATTTACATTTTCGTAAGTTTATTTGGTTCCAATAACATCATCAATATCAGTGGTTTTCCTCTCAAATAAAAATATCAAATTATTATTTATAAAACTCTAATTGATTATACTCAAAAACATTAATCTTAAGAATAAGCTAATTAACTTTAATAAAACTATGCATACCTATACAGGGCGTCCCACGGGTACCTCACACGGAGGGAAAGTATATTAAATATTGAAGATAGGATATTTTACCGAAAGAAGACATCATTTTATTTTTAATCATAACAAGAACTGCATTCACAGATTTTTTAAAAATCGCCTGCTAAAACGGGGAATCAAACTCGTGAAATTTCGAAAAAAAAACACTACATGTTTTATGATAACCATCGAAAGAGTTAATCATAAAAAAATATTTTATGCTAAATAACGTAGCATTTTAAATGAAAGAAAAGTCATAAAATTACACATTTTATTAAAAATATTCAACAAAAAGTAATACAAAACGAAATGTATCAAATGTTCAAAATGTGATCCGATTTGTTGAATGCAAATTCTCACTCTATTAATGTTTTCTCTGCCTGTCGATTTCATTATCTTCGCGTGGTGAATATTTGTAAGAATACGTCTGAGTTATTTTGTAACTCCTGCACACCGTCTTACCGGTTCTTGTAAACTACATCTGTTACATAACCCCACAAAAAAGTCCAGTGGGGGGTTAGATCTGGGGATCTCGGCCATCTTATTTGTCCATAAGAACCGATCCAGAAAGGAAAGTGTTCATTAAGAAACTCGGCAGTTCTCCTACTGTTATGTGTCCCATTTTGCTGCAAAATGAAATTTCGTCGATTTGCATCAGGAAGATTATTGATCTCACCTCTTAAAATATTAAGTATTTCTAAAAAACTTTTCCGTATTCAGATTCCCTTTGTAAAAATGTATTAAGAGAACCCGGTTTTTAACTAAAATGAAAAACACAAAAAAATAACAGTACCCTTAGCACGAACCAATATCGAATTCGAATAGTTTTCGAAATGTCATTGTCAAATGTGTACTGATTTTTAGTACTCGTTACGTACTTTGTGGTGCTGCTGTATAAGTTTCCATACAAAAGTTGACATTGACATTTCACACTCGCAAACTATTCGAATTCGATAATGGTTCATGCTAGGGGTACAGACGCTTGAAAATGTATGTGTTATATTTTCGAATTATTATTTTTACAAATTTCAGCCAATCGCATTGTAACTGAGTTCAAAATGAAATGCATGCGTACTACAGTTTGTATATCACTTTATTCTTTTTATCACGTAATAAGACATGCCTTTCATTTAAAATGCTATGTTAATTAGCAAAAAATATTTTTTATGATATGATATATGATATAAAATACCTCGTATTTTTTTCGAAATTTCACGAGTTTGATTCCCAGTTGTAACAGTCGATTTTAAAAAATCTGTGAATGCAGTTCTAGTTATTATCAAAAATGAAATAATGTCTTCTTTCAGTAAAATATCCTATCTTTAATATTTAATATACTTTCCCTCCGTGTGAGGTAGCCGTGGGACGCCCTGTATAGTAAAATGGTAGGAAATTTAAAACTGTACAATGAATATTTTTGTAAAAGAATACTTGGGGTGTGATCTACATAAGATACCGAAGCCGAAAATATAGTTTTTAGATTTTTTGTCTGTTTGTCTGTATGTATGTCCAGGATAAACTCAAAAAGCACTGCATGGATTTACTTAAAATTTGGCACGAATATTATTAAGAATTCAGGTCAACATATAGGCTACATATTATCACGCCATCACCTACGGGGAATGAGCAGTGAACTTTTATTTCTAACTCCACGCGTACGAAGTCGCGGGCGGCCGCTAGTACAGAAATAATATTATTCAGACTCATAATTATAATGACAGCACCATTTTTGGCTGGTTATTTAGAACTTATAAACAAAATTCGCTTCTATTAAACTAAAATGGTGCTATGATAGGCTGGTTATTTAGAAAAATATCAATTAAAAACTTGAAAACAAAAACAGCTACTATAAAACAACAAAAAAATAACATGAAAGAAAACGTTAATATCTTAAATTCAGGTAGAAAATAAATGTAAATTATAATTAATAGTTGAGTGGCGCGCTTTGGCCCGCGTCGCCATGCAACACAACAAACAGCGATTTAATTTCTATATAGGTACATGATTTCTCGAGTTCTCGACTTTTCTCGAGCTTGATTTCCCGGGAACAAAGCCCAACGATTTCCCCGGGAATGAACCCTAATTGTGGGTAAATTGAAGACATTATTTTATCTACATAGTCAGTTATTATGTTTTTTAATTTCTACGTTCTAAGAAAACCGATTTATAGATGGGTATCTCATTTTCTATGGCAAGTCAATTATATTATTTTTCCGAAATAACTATTTGTCTGAATATGCTGTGTTATTATATTTTTCTAGCCTGGCGACATCTTAGCATATTGTTTTTTTTTTTGATAAAAATTATCTTTTGATGCTTATCGTCTTTGTCTACCTATATCTCGTTTTGTATGCAAAACTGTATGTAACTATCCATTCTCACATTCTCTGATTCAAACATACCTATACGAACAACCTACATTCCTAGGTATCTATAAGTTAATATTTCACAAATCGCTTTCCCTATTGTTTTCTCTTACAGGTTATTAGGCGTTTTATTGACTATCTCTTTTGTCTATTACAGATAGGGCCGTTAACCGACCTACGATGGAACTTGGGCAGGGAGAGGTTACCAGAGAACCGCAACATCGCCATACATGTCACTCCACCAGATGGAGACGAAGATGACGACGAGTTCGTGCCCCCGCTGCGAGTGCGGAGGAAACTCAGCACCCCGCTGAGCGCACTACCAAGTGCCGCCGACAGCCTGCTCGGCTTAACAAGTATGTAGAACAGTAACCTTTACCTGTATATACTTCACTCTAATTAATGTGACGATGGTGACGACGAGTTCGTGCCCCCGCTGCGAGTTCGGAGGAAACTCAGCACCCCGCTGAGCGCACTACCGAGTGCCGCTGACAGCCTGCTCGGCTTAACAAGTATGTAGAACAGTAACCTTTACCTGTATATACTTCACTCTAATTAATGTGACGAAGGTGACGACGAGTTTGTACCAGCGTTGCGAGTGCGAAGTGCGAAGGAAACTCAGCACTCCGCTGAACGCGTTATCGAGTGCCGCTGGCAGCCTGCACTGGTTATACAAGTACGAGTAAGAACAATAGTTTCAACCTCTTTAAGCCGTAGGCCGCAACTTTTATCTATATTTACCTCAGTTTACCCGAAGCACCCCGCTTAACCAGTACCTAAAGTGAACAGTATCAACCTCTTTAAGTCTCTACCTATATACAGTTCTTTTTCAATTAAAACATTACTTTTTACTATATTACTGAGATCTCTTGACATACATATATGCAATTCGTTGTGTTTTGTCGCGTTGCAATCGCCTTAGTAGTGCGGCTGCGACATAGAGGATTTCTTTCCCAATGCCTTTTCTTTAGTTGTTAGCAATTTGGAGATTTCTTCTAACATTTAAGGATTATAATCTATGTTGAATACAGATGCAAGACATGCCTCCCCCTCCCGCTCGCTTTCTCCGCTAGATCGGACTAAGCGGCGCTTCAGCACAATGGTGTCTAGCGCTGCAGCTGCTGCAGTATCCAGGCGCCTCTCAGCTACAATAGGATGGTGCCTTGCGACGCCTACACATGTCAAAACACAGATCGTCAGACAAGGTCGTGCCCTGTGTTTGCAATACATCAAAACACAAATACGTCGCTCATCTATTTGTGCAAGAAAGGTCAGTACCTAGTAAAAATTTCCAATCTAAAAAACATTAAAATTAAGATCTTATTTAATACAATTACATTAGGCGCCGAGATGAGTTTCTATACAATTTCGTCAAGTTCTGTTAAGCTTCCATTTAATTAATTCTCAAATTGTTACCAAGTAGATTGTGAATCTGAAACCGTTAGAGTTGTATCTCAAATTCTAGACAATTTTTATGGAATCAATGAATCGAACGTGATCGAGGCTAACTCGACATAATTTGCGACAAACTTTCAAAATCAAAGAATTTATATTGAACAGTATTTTAATAAAAAGCGTCTTCTAAATAGAATATCTAGTATGTAATATTATGTCAAGTTAGACAGTAAAAAGTAGTCTAGGTAGTAATTTTTCGCTGTAATTCAGTTTATTAAATCATTTCAGAAGTATAGGCATCAAATTGATATTGGCAGACGGACAGCATTTCTTTCGTATATTTAATACCTATTAGCATGGAAGTCCCATCTTTCAACAGTGTGACCAGAATAAATGTTACGTAAAAACCGAAGCTCCTTAAAAAAACAACTTGCACAAGAAAATAAGTATATCGATACCTGCAGGTTCATTTGGGGTAACTGACAAAATACGTAAAATGAGTTAAGTGTTATTCCTAGCAGGCACCATGGGGATTTCACTAATCTACCCTATGCTAAGAAAGTACAGGACACCCTCAATCAAACGGACGAAGAAGATTCCTCTCTTGACTCTGCCTAGAAAGTTTGGTTACTTACTATTTTTATAGATTCAATGATTACTTTTTGTTAATGTTCCTTAATAAAATTAAATATGAAACTTCATAATAATAGAAAATGTTTTTATTTCAATTTATCTTTATTTTTATCATAGAAACATTTAAAAGATCGCATTTTTAGGATCTCGGTAAAATTATTGTATAAGGCAAACAGGTTTATATTTCATTCTACTCTACATTTTTACCCAATTTAACTGAAATATACAGTAATCAATTAAATATTCACCGGCCCTTGCATCAAATTGATTTAATCGTTTTATTTACAAGTATCTTTACACCACTTTGACCTGGATTGTTTTATTTTTTTTTATACTGAATGTGGTGTAACTGTCAATAATATCAAATCATTTTGGTATAACTGAAATTCATTTCCTAAAATAGGGTATACTTGAATAATATTTCCATTAAACCCCGAAATCCGCTGTTTTTTAAGCATTTTCATTAAAGCAAATTTAAAAAAGGTTAAATGGAAAAAAAATATGTTCGATCAAAGACGAAAAAAACTTTTAAATGCTTCTCCTATAACATCGTCTTTTGTCAGTTACCCTAAATGAACCTGCAGGTATATGTTCCCATGCAAGTTGGTATATTTCAGTATTTTTTTGAAAAGAAAGTCATTAAAATGTACTAAAAAATATTAAAATACCGAATCTGGTCACATTCTCTGTCGGACCACGATAACTTTGCACATGGCAGTACTGATTATAGTTTAATTAACTATCCTGATATATTTTTTTATTCGACTTAAAAAAGGAGGAAGTTCTGAATTATATAGGTATATATACCTATATAATTAAGAACTTCCTCCTTTACATATATATATATATATGTATACATGTAATACATCATAGTCTAGAGCTCGTTGATTACGAATATTGTTACGTGTGGGGGTTTGAAAGTATTATGCCAGTTCACGCTTGAAAATTCTTTATTCACTATACAGTTCACACATTAAACACTCAATATTAGTCTCAATGCACTCACTGTACACTATAGAAAAGGGTAGCCGTAAAAGTTTTAATTTGTATACTACTTTTGCTACGGGGTCTATCTCTAGTTAAAGATGTCAAAGATTTCAATTCCAAAATCTGTACCCTTAGCACGAACCAATTTCCGAATTCGTTACGTTTGCGAGTGCGCAATGTCAATGTCAAATTCTGTATGGAAACTTGAACAGCAGCGCCACAAAGGACGTAACGAGAACTAAAAATCAGTACATATTTGACAATCATATTTAGCACTCCCAAACTACTCAAGTTCGATTTTGGTTCGTGCTAAGAGTACTGTATTTAAACAAATACTGAACAGTAATATAAGGTAGCTTCAATTATAGGATTATATCATTGCATATTAATTAGATGAAGATCGGGTAAGTATTTAGGGCGACGAAACGAAGAAACTCCTCAATCACAAACACTTCATACAAATAAATATATATTTTTAAAAAGTTTAAAAAAGTAACTGTTTTTGTCAAAATTCCTTTGATTGTTGCTTGGGCATGTTTACGAGATCGATTTCGATGATTCTATCTCAAAAATTGTTTATTACTCTGTTAATCACTGGAAGATACTTCCGAATCCAAAACTTTATTTCTTCCATATTAAATGTCCTCCTTAACCTCTTCTTTTTGATACTTGGCCTCTCCTTCTACATTTTCAATATCTCTCCCTTCATACTGAACCTTAATTCATTCTCTTATATGGTCAACTCTGCAAATTATTTCCGATTAATATACAATCATCTGCATATAAAGTACCTTAAAAGAAAACAATTATTCAATGAATGTAATTCAAAACTGTTGGTTATACAATTACTCTATTTTTTATGAACAATGGATAAATAAAGCTACGTAACAAGTATTCGTCCATAATCAAACATGTATTTTATTATCTAACGTTATGTAAAAACATTTTTTTAGTTATATAGGTAATGTAAATGTTGCGCAGAAGTAAAAATTGAAATGTCTTGGGGGGAAACAGAGGTGCGTGCGTTGCGCCGATTGGCTCTCCAGTCGTACTACGTCCCCCGTAATGATACGACGCCCCGCGCACATTGTTTTGTTGTCATTGCTGCTGTTTTTTTGTAAAGTTTGTTTTGATGATTTGTTTGTTGTGTTTGTTAGTTAATTAACGGTTTTATTAACTTTGAACAGTTTTTAAAAAGTGATAATGCCGAGAAGAAATACTGTTTTGAGAAGACAGGCACGGAATATGGTGCATGACGTTCATTGTTTTTTTAAAAGGGGATCTAATAAATCCATTGATTCCTTGAAACAAATCGAAAGTCAAATTGGCGAAGCTACGAGTATTTTAATCGATCCGGACAGCAGCACTGTAGATTTAAGCCAAATATAACAAACTGCAGAAGTTATTAGGGCGGGATATATGAAATTAAATAGTATAATTAGTGACGTAGGGAAAATTCAAAAAAAAATACAGCTGAGTCTACAAAAACATCCATAGCAACGGTAAGCGAAATTTCCACTGAAGCCAATAGTTTCGATTTTATAACAGTACTAGCGGCCCGCCCTCACTTCGCTTCGGTGTAAGCTGAAGTGTAGACTACAGTTTTTGTTCTCAGGCTTGTATTATACACAATGACATTCATCTATGATGCTTCTTATACCTGCATGCAAAGTCTCAGCCCGATCGGTTTGAAATTGACAAAGTTTCATACCAACTTTCATTCCCTATTTTATTCCCTTGGTAATAGAATTCCCTTGGTAGAATTGATCAAAATCCTTTCTTAGCGGATGCCTACGTCATAACATCTACCTGCATGCCAAATTTCAGCCCGATCCGTCCAGTGGTTTGGGCTGTGCGTTGATAGATCACTATGTCAGTGAGTCACCTTTGAGTTTTATATAATTATATAGATTTAGAGGCAAAAAACTCTCCAGATCAAAGCTGGTCACAGATATTAATAACTTCGGTCAAGGAGTAATAAAAAGGTACATACATAACTTTCACAGGACATAATGAACTTCCCACCGCTACACCATCGCGAAGCTCAAAATGAAGCTAGAGGAAGATAATAATTTCAAAGGCTCAGAACGAAGTCTACGACGAATAATTTATAAGTTTTCGGTGGAAAAATACTGAAAACAACCGAAAAGTACTGATTTGGAGTTTCAATCAGTACTTTTTTATACGTTTGCAACGTATCGAATACTTACGCAAAATAAAAAAATATCGACAAGAGGGAAAGCCAATCATATATAGCGATAAATCATACGTAGATTCATCACACTCTTCTCCAAAAGTCTGGACCGATGGTATAAAGGTTCCAAAAACCCCCATCTCCAAAGGACAGCAGGTGGTCACTGTCCGCGCAGGATCAGAGGCTGGGTTCATACCGAACACACTGCTAACTTTTAAAGCTGGTGCGAAATCAGGCGACTACCACGACAATTGACATTGACGACCTCCGTGACCGAGTGGTTTATACGCCGGGTTTCATGGTGTTGCCAACTCAAGAGGTCCCGGGTTCGAATCCCGATGGGGGCAGATGTTTGTGTGATGAATACGAGCATTTCTACTCCAGTCATGGCTATTTAATATGTATTTCTATATAAATATACTTATATATGCACAATTTATGTATTCTATCCGTTACCCCAGTATCCCATAACACAAGCCTTACAGTGCTTACTTTGAGTCTAGGCTAATTGGTATGGGTGTTGGAAATATTTATTTAATATTAATTATGAAAAATGGCTGAGGACACAGTTAATGCCGAACTTACCGCCTAAATCTGTCATGGTAATCGACAACGCAACATATCATAAGAAGCAATGGGACATCCTACCAACTTCTAATTCAAAAAAAGCTGACATGCAGGCTTGGCTTACTGAAAAGGGCACAGAATATGAGGAAACTCTATTAAAACCTCAATTTAATACGGGCTAACAAAGATAGATTTAAAGATTTAAAATGTTTTCCAAATGAAAAAAAAAACATTTGGTATATAGATAGTTTGGGTCCCGGGGAAGGACAAAGGATAGTTTTTATCCCAGAAATCATCCTCTAATGGGGTGAAAAGGGGGGCGGAAGTTTGTATGGGAAAACAAAATTTTGACGCAGACGAAGTCCCGGGCACCCATTAGTGATCAAACAACCGAATGAAATGACTAGTTTACAAACAAAAATTTATAATTAAAAATCTTCAGCATTTTAGGGTCTTTATTTTTTTTATTATAAATTACTTACTGAAAAATACTT